TTTAATTAGTAATATGCATTGCTAAGGACTTCATTTGAACAACTTTAAAATAGCATGATTTTCTGCTATTTATGCTACTTAATGCAAATAGTGACAATTATCTGCACCTCAGTGTTGTAGTACATTTTAAAACAGTATGCAATAATAAAGCATTATAATTTTAATTCAAAATATTAAATGGATGCCACATTTCTGAGACAATAAAGCCCTCCCTACACCAACCCGAAACTTTATTTTGAACTTTTCGATTATTTCCTTCATTTTTATTGAAAATAAATGCCTTTCCGATGTGATATGATATTCTGCAAAAGGCAGGATTTAACTCTTAGTGTACCGATGTTTTTAACGCAGTTAAACTAGGAAAATTATTTACATGCGTTAACATCTATTCTATCTTTCTTTCTATTCTACGTGTACTGCATTAGGCTAACTGAGACTTATCACAGCACTTGCATATCATTGCTCTTTTGTTGGTTTTGATTGCTTCTGTTGTCATCATTTGTAAGTGCCTTTGGATAAAAGCGTCTGCTAAATGACTAAATGTAAATGTAATTGTGTGAACACATACCTGCACCTCTGAGTCTGCACACACCGGCTGCAGCGGGAACCAGTGGTCTTTACCGTGGTATTTCTGCAGGTCTTCCTTCTTCACGGCCACTTTACCTGCAGAAACAACACAGATCAACCAGAACACCCTAGAAACTAACTAAAAACCACCTAGCAACCATATAGTCTCACTCTTGCTCTTCAGTGTCAAACACTCCTCACATTCTCTTAGAAGGTTTCTAGTTGACATTCAAACACTTTATGTGTCTTTGTTCTACATTCTTTCCCAAACATTCCATCTCCTCCTGCTTCAATATCTTTGTAACACATTAAGGCCTGAAGCTGCATTAATCATAAATGAATCATAACAATCTGGTTGGACAAGCTGCGTGATTAAACGTCGGAGCTCTACTGTGATTGGACGAAAACTAGGTGTTTCGGTTGTAAGCTGGGTTTTCATTGGCTGAATGGAAGTGTATCTGTTCAGGACTCTACAGTGCGACCATTTCAGTCGCATTTGCTGAACACAGATATTATTGAGAGCTGCTCACCAATGCTGGAGTCCCTCCTGAACACGTCTCTGTCAAAGATGTAGAAGGACAGATGGCGGAAACTGCGCGGGATTTCACAATAAAAGTCTTCACCGTAGAACGGACTGCAGCGGACAGAGAAAATAGATATTGTGGGTATTATTATTCTTAAGTAAATGATTTTTCATTGTCAGATAGATGCATTGATGCACAGGTGTTGTTGAGTGATTTTACACCTCATTAACACCAACACACATCTTCATATGTGTGTGCGTGCGTGCGTGTGTGAGTGTGTGTGTGTGTGTGTGTGTGTGTGTGAGAGTGAGTGAGTGAGTGTGTTTGTGTGTGTGTGTGTGTGAGTGTCTGTGTGAGTGAGTGAGTGTGTGTTACAAATAAACTTGAAACTTGAATTGAGTTATCTTATTTTCTGAGTCTGCTGTTTGGGAACACAAGTTCTGTGAGTTAATTATGACGAAGCACTTTAATGAGACTTTGCTCAAGCATTTTAGATGCCGTGCATGAGATCGGTCCATTGGTTGGTCTTCTTAGATGCGCATTTAGGAATTTATCCGGTAAAAGTATTTCCATCGTAGTTTATGCGCATGTTTTCTTATAGAATAAGAAATGTATCCGACTTAGTTGAGTGCATACGTTTTTTATGTGCATTTTCAGAATTTATGTGCATCTTGGCGTTTCCATCCAGCATTTTTTTTATGCGATATCCCAAAATAGGTGGATGAAAACATAGCTAATGCACACAGACAAGCAGATCTAAGCTGCTCTCCGGCTGCTCTGGGATCAGATGCAGAACAATAGAGCACAATATTCAGTGCAGCAGCGCAGCACAGGGTGGGTTCAGTGCAAAAATCTGTGTGGGATCTGAAACCCAGTGCACACATCAGACATGTGAGCGGAGGAATGCTGTCGGCCCGCACACACACACACACACACACAGCCCTGCAGCAGGAAGAATGCAACACTTTGGGAGGAAGTTGGGTGTGTTGCGGTGTGTGTTTCCACAGAATGAACCGGTGTCCTGTTACACCCTCATCACCCACATTGACACCAATGAAGGTGTCAATCAATCTCAGCACGCACTCGTTTGTTGCATGCATGCAATGAGTTTGCATTTCAAGTGCATGTGGAATACTGTGATCCTTCATAATGCTGGACTGCGATGAGTCACTAAGCAGATGAGAAGCACATCTGATGCTGCAGACAGACGCCGGCGAGGTGCTGTTGACGTGGTAAGCCGATCCATGCGTGACATTCTGGATCTAGAAGCATCTCTGTTTCCTGTCCACTCAATCCCAGTGCACATAATCGCACAGATCCTGATTGGATTACAGCTCGCAGGTCACTCTGGAGACCACGGCATTGTGGGATTACTGGAGCTGTGCGTGTGTGTGCTTAACCATCACTAGTACTAGTGCCCACACTGATCAGACTTCAGGGCCTTATGATCTATGGCCTTAAAAATCGAGTTTGCGGGATGTCACGGAATTCGGCAAAATTTGAAAAAATCGAAAGTAGGGCTGTACACTTAATCAAATATGAATATTAAAAAACAAAAAGACTGATATTGAAATATGCATGTTCTGCATGTCTCTGACTGTGTGAGTTGTGCAGTTTAAAAAAGCAATTGTTGAATTTTAATTTGATTACATTTTAAAAGATTTAATTAAATCATGAATCGATTTTTAATTCCATTTTAATTTACATTATCCATAATTAGAATTCAATTCCATTTCAATTAATTCGACTTTTTGATTACTAAAATGTAGGACAGAAAAATTAAAACAACGCAAACCGGAATCCAGAAAAAATGAAAGGGGTGGGGGGGCAGGATCCAGAACAAATGAACATGGGGAAAAGGGGGAATCCAAAAAATGAAAGGGAAGACCAAAAAAACCCACACGGAGTCTAGAAAATAAAAACCGGAAAATGTAATCCAGAAAAATAAAGGGAAAAAATGCCACAGAATTAGGACTGCACGATACTGGAAAAAAACTCACATTGTGATATTGTTGAGAAGCACATCTGATGCTGCAGACAGACGCCGGCGAGGTGCTGTTGACGTGGTAAGCCGATCCATGCGTGACATTCTGGATCTAGAAGCATCTCTGTTTCCTGTCCACTCAATCCCAGTGCACATAATCGCACAGATCCTGATTGGATTACAGCTCGCAGGTCACTCTGGAGACCACGGCATTGTGGGATTACTGGAGCTGTGCGTGTGTGTGCTTAACCATCACTAGTACTAGTGCCCACACTGATCAGACTTCAGGGCCTTATGATCTATGGCCTTAAAAATCGAGTTTGCAGGATGTCACGGAATTCGGCAAAATTGGAAAAAATCGAAAGTAGGGCTGTACACTTAATCAAATATGAATATTAAAAAACAAAAAGACTGATATTGAAATATGCATGTTCTGCATGTCTCTGACTGTGTGAGTTGTGCAGTTTAAAAAAGCAATTGTTGAATTTTAATTTGATTACATTTTAAAAGATTTAATTAAATCATGATTCGATTTTTAATTCCATTTTAATTTACATTATCCATAATTAGAATTCAATTCCATTTCAATTAATTCGACTTTTTGATTACTAAAATGTAGGACAGAAAAATTAAAACAACGCAAACCGGAATCCAGAAAAAATTAAAGGGGTGGGGGGGCAGGATCCAGAACAAATGAACATGGGGAAAAGGGGGAATCCAAAAAATGAAAGGGAAGACCAAAAAAAACCACACGGAATCTAGAAAATAAAAACCGGAAAATGTAATCCAGAAAAATAAAGGGAAAAAATGCCACAGAATTAGGACTGCACGATACTGGAAAAAAACTCACATTGTGATATTGTGTTTTTCTGCGATATATATTGCGATATGAAAAAACTAAATCACCAGATGACTTGAATAGCTCTATTTGGAAAAAAAAAATCATTGATTGGGATGATTTTGTAGGTGAGTAAATCAGCATAGAAAATAAATTACAAGCATAAATCTAATAGAACAAAGATAGCCTACAAATGAAATGAACAGTGCTTTTCAGGTAAGTCTAACAGTATGGGGGGGCAGGATCCAGAACAAATGAACATGGGGAAAAGGGGGAATCCAAAAAATGAAAGGGAAGACCAAAAAAAACCACACGGAATCTAGAAAATAAAAACCGGAAAATGTAATCCAGAAAAATAAAGGGAAAAAATGCCACAGAATTAGGACTGCACGATACTGGAAAAAAACTCACATTGTGATATTGTGTTTTTCTGCGATATATATTGCGATATGAAAAAACTAAATCACCAGATGACTTGAATAGCTCTATTTGGAAAAAAAAATCATTGATTGGGATGATTTTGTAGGTGAGTAAATCAGCATAGAAAATAAATTACAAGCATAAATCTAATAGAACAAAGATAGCCTACAAATGAAATGAACAGTGCTTTTCAGGTAAGTCTAACAGTACTCAGGTAGAAACTGAATAATCAAATGTAAAATAACACTGCATAGTCTTCACTGTAAATTAAATCTAATAAATCTGTGTTAAAGCAACATGTCAGGAATATGGACCTGTTTGTGTGTGTTTTCTCCTCTTGTGCTCCGTGACCTAGTTTTCGCTCTAGTTTGATTAGTCATTTAGTTCAAGTGTGTCTAGTTCATTACCCTCGTTTAGTCTTGTGTTTAAAGTGCTCTCTGTTCCTTTGTCCGGTGTGTGTTTCTGCCTGCCCTGTGTGTTACCCTGGTTGTGGATTATTATTAAAGACTCTTATTTGTGAAACTCCTTCGTCTTTGTTTTCCTTCGCTCCCGCACAGTAGTATCGTGACATTACAAAAGTGATTTTTCTCTATGTGTTTTGTTGTTTGATTAACATTCATCACGCAGAAAGTAACAGGAACATTAAACTGATGTGTTATATAACCAATATACTGTTACACATCCATTTACTTTCTCAACTGTTAATCATCACCTAAGCCGTAAGCAACGTGTTTACAAGGAGACTTGCAGAGACATGCATTGCGACAAAATTTCACGCGTATGTGTCCTTTCAGGCACAAATAGACGCGTAAGTGAAGGGAATTCGGTGTTCACGTACATCTGCGTGGCTCTCACCGTGTCTACACCGGACGAGAGCGGCACGACGCGACAAAATACAATAGAACCCATTATAATCAGTGATGCTGGATGCAGCGCGGAGCGACACGACAAATCCCCGACAGTAAACCGATACCTCGTTCTATTTATGACGCACTGACACAAAGTTGAAATGATTTGTAATGGTCGCTTTGTCGCATCCAGTTTAGCGTGTAGACACGGTGTCTGTGTGTGAGCGAAGAAAACGATCAGTATAAATATAACGATCAGTATACATCGCACATCCTGCTATGTGGCTCTCGCGGATGCGCATCGCTATATCGATGCTGAAACGATGTATCGTGCAGCCCTACACAGAATCCAGACAAATAAAAACAGAGAAAAAATTCCAGCAAAAAACAGAAAAAATAGGAATTCAGAAAAAAAATGTAAAGGATTAATTACATTTAAAAAAATTACAACTGAATTTCAGAAAAAAAGAAAAACAACAATGAATAAAACACCTAGAACATTTTATAACAGTAACTTAGCAACACCCTAGCAACCACACAGATTAACCTAGCACCTAGTTTTCATCATAAACACTTTTTCCGTCTTAATTTTTCTGGACTCCGATGCTGGATGCAGCGCGGAGCGACACGACAAATCCCCGACAGTAAACCGATACCTCGTTCTATTTATGACGCACTGACACAAAGTTGAAATGATTTGTAATGGTCGCTTTGTCGCATCCAGTTTAGCGTGTAGACACGGTGTCTGTGTGTGAGCGAAGAAAACGATCAGTATAAATATAACGATCAGTATACATCGCACATCCTGCTATGTGGCTCTCGCGGATGCGCATCGCTATATCGATGCTGAAACGATGTATCGTGCAGCCCTACACAGAATCCAGACAAATAAAAACAGAGAAAAAATTCCAGCAAAAAACAGAAAAAATAGGAATTCAGAAAAAAAATGTAAAGGATTAATTACATTAAAAAAAATTACCTAAAACACCTAGAACATTTTATAACAGTAACTTAGCAACACCCTAGCAACCACACAGATTAACCTAGCACCTAGTTTTCATCATAAACACTTTTTCCGTCGTAATTTTTCTGGACTCCTTTTTAATGGTTAAATTAAATTGTATTACTTCAAAAGTATGTCTAATCATTTGAAAGCATGAAACTTAATACACTTTCACAACAGTTGATTAAAATATAAATAAGTATGTTTCTGGACGTATGATTAATTCCAAGTGATTCTTTGATCGACGCCCTCGACCGATAATATCTGGGCTCGAGGAGCGTTTCCCACCGGATAACACTGACACTGCGGAGGCGTGAAACATGTGTAAACACACTCGCTCTGAGGCGTGTGTGGGAACGCATGCTTGTTGCCATGGCGACAGACTCGCTGCAGGAACTGCTTACTGTTTTGTGGCTCGGCAGACAGTGTAAATGAGTGTGAAATTGAATGTGTTTCAGAGAGACCAAAATATCCTTCTGCTGTAGTGCGTCATCACACGGATGGCCCTTAGGACAGAGAAATCACACATGAGATCTCAGGAACGTCTCAAGTGATTCTCCTAGACAGTGATGAGATCAAAAAGGAAGACAAGAAGACCCCAGTAATCTCACACGTGTCTCAAACTGTGCTCAATATGAACTCACTCCACTGACTCTATAGACTCTTATGACCCATTTGTGTTCGTCATGATCTTCTGGTCACTGTGGGATATTTCGACCTGTTTTAATGTGACTCAGTAAACATGTTTCATCACATGTCTCTCAGACAATCATGTGTTTATTTGAATGTGTGAATCTGTCTTCACGGACACGCAAACAAACACATAAAAATGGAATTTACAGGATGTCACAGAACTGTGCAAAAGTAGGGTTGTACACTTAATCAAATATGAATATTAAAGCACAAAAAGACTCATATTGAAATATGCATGTTCCTCTGTGTGAGTGAGTTGTGCAGCTTAAAAAGCAGTTGTTGAATTTTCATTTGGCTACATTTTGAAAGATTAAATTGTTAATATTTTGTCTTCATTTTACCAGTTTTTGATAATAAAGTTGTATTAAATCAGGAATCCATAATATTAATTTACAGAATTAAATTAAAGCAATTAATTAAGCATTAATTTTTTATGCTTAATGCTTAAAAAATTAAGCATTTAATTTTAAATGCTTTAAAATTTAAAGCATTTAAATTTTAAATGAATTTAAATTTAAATTTTAAATGAATTTAAATTTAAATTCATTAAATTTTATGAATTTAAATGAATTTAAATGAATTAATTTTTTTATTTTTTTTTTTTATAAAAAAAAATTTATATTACTTTTTTACATTTTTTAATATAATTTTAAAAATTAAAATTTTTATTTTAATTCAATTAAATTTTTTAATTTTAATTCAATTAAAATTAAATTTTTTAATTTTAAATTAAAATTAATTTGAATTTTAAATTAATTTAATTATTTAAAAGAAGTAAAGCAATTATTTTTAATTGAATTAAAAAAATATTTAATTAATTATTAAATTAATTAATCATTTTAATAATTAATTATTAATTATTTCCTGAAAGCTGGGAAAAAACTGAATCCAGAGAACTGAAAATGAAAATAAAAACAGAATCCAGAAAAATAAAAAAAATTAAAAAATAAACAAAAACAAAACACGAACCCAGAAAAATTAAACACGCAACACACACACACACACACAAACACATTCCTGACATGCATAAAGAAGCTCGTGAACCTTCACACAGCTACATACGTGTTTCAGACCTCACAAACACAAACACACTGAGTAAACAGCCTCAGAAAACAAGCTCAAGACACCCGAGAGATGAAAGAATAAACAGAGGAGAGAGAAAGTGAGATGATGATACTGACAGAGGAAGAAAAACAGCTAAATGGGTAAAAATGAATCACGCAGGAATCCTGTCGAGAGCATCTGGTGATGAGAGGCTGTGCTAGCAAACTAATACAGTTACAGAAAATAAAAACAGGTAGGATGGTCACTAGGGTTGGGTACCGTTCACATTTTAACCGGTACGGGTACCTGAATTTCGGTGCCGGTACCCTTTTCTCTGTACTTTACTCTGTGCAATTACAAAAACATTTATTTCAGTGAAAAAATAAGTCCAAAAGTCTCAATTTCAACATTTTGAACAATAGGGCACTACCAACTTTTTTTTTGTTTTAATTTTTCTGAAAATCAAATGAAGGCATTAAACATTTATTTTAAATCAAATTAAAATTAAACCCTTTTATTTTTTGGCAAACAAACTGAGGTTTACTGTTGACATTAATACATGGAAGAAAAATTGTGTGAATATTCCTTTAAAACATTTTATAATAGGCTAATAATTGTATTTTTATTTTTTTTTACACTTAAGTGATTAATCAGGTTGTTATATTTATTTTTTTATCATTTAATTGTTTTCTTTAAATTTGATAGAAAATGGAATATTTAAAGATGTACATTATACTGTACAAAAGTAATACAAGAGTAATGTATTTCTGTTTTTGTTTATTTTGACAGGTTGCCATGAAGTTTCTGTGTGTATACAGTATGATGATGCTAGTTTTCTCAAATGAAACGGTAAAATTCTCGCACAGTGACTCTCACAGCAGCTCTGGAGATCATGCCGTCATATAGTGAGACGCAGAGGCCGGAAATCACCGTGAGCGTCACGCACAAGAGTAATATATTTCTGTTACATGTTAAACCTACTTTTATTTTGAGAGGTTGCCATGAAGTTTCTGTGTGTATACAGTATGATGATGCTAGTTTTCTCAAATTAAATGGTAAAATTCTCGTGAAGTGACTCTCACAGTGACGGCAGCTCTGGAGATTAGGTTTTTGTGTTCATGCCGTCATATAGTGAGGCCCAAAATCACCGCTAGCGTCACGCGTGCTTCAGTATTTGTGTAGTAAACAAAACCGCGTTTTCGCCATTCATACATACAAAGGCAAGTGGAACATGCAGGATTCATATTTAAACTTTTTTGAATATGATATATGAATATGAATATTAAAGTCTTTTTGCATTTTAATATTCACAGACACTAGTTCATATCGCGATTCAAATTAAGTGGCAGACCTACTTTTGATTTATTCGTCCAAAATTGACGAATTCCGTGGCATTCCGCGCTATAGAGTAAATTACATTTTTATGAATGGACTCCGCGATCCCGTCCGTGTTTTCGCAGGAACCATATGGGCCTAGAAATGTAACCACACTTCAGAACGTTCCCTGTGTGTTGTTTGAACGAGTTGCAGGGGTGACCTCACGTCACAGGGTCTCTCATTCTCTCTCTGTAGCGTATGCGCCCAGATGCGTTCTCAGCTACCGAAATTTGGCACCGATTGATTTAACGTGAATCAGTACTCGGTAGTGCTCGGTAGTACTGAGAGAGAGAGAGAGAGAGAGAGAGAGAGAGAGAGAGAGAGAGAGAGAGAGAGAGAGAGAG